AGAGGGGGGAAAAAAGAAGAGGGGAGGGTTATCAGAAAGAGAGAAGAGATGGACAAGGAGAGGAAAAGCCCACCCAAACCTGCCAAGATCATATTCAACAGAGATGTAAATGTGGTGATAAAGGACCACTATAGGCACCCAGCTCAATTACGTGGTCTGGGTGCCAGGTCCCCTTAGTTTTAACCCTGCAGCTGAAAACATAGCAGTTTCAGAGAAACTGCTATGTTTACACTGCATGGTTAATCCAGCCTCTAGTGGCTTTCTCCCTGACAGTCACTAGAGGCACTTTCGCGATTTACACTGAGTAAATCGCACTTATTTGATGCTGGACGTCCTCACTGACCTCCAGCGTCAAAAAAGATCCCCATAGGAATGCATTGAGTAATGCTTTCTTATGGGCGGGTTTGAATGCGGGTGCGCCTCTGGCCGCACATGCGCATTTGGCTCCAGTCGGGAGCTGACGTTGGCAGGGGGACCCGACGCTGGATTAAGGTAAGTGGCTGAAGGGGTTTTCACCACTTCAGCACCGGGGGAGGGGGCACTGAGGGAGGGGGGCACTCCAAGAGCCTATAGTGCCAGGAAAACGGGTTTGTTTTCCTGGCACTATAGGATCCCTTTAACACAGTGAAGGAGTTTAAGCATGCGTGGGATTGGCATAAGGCTATCCTAGCTATAAAATAAGCCCAGGGACTAATGAAATATTTAAAAAATTGGGCAGACTAGATGCGTTGAATGGTTCTTATCTGCTGTCACATTCTATGTTTCTACGTGCTTAACTATGAAGTAAGGCACAGTGCTGCATACCTCCCAACATATTAAAGTATGGATTTGGGATGGAGACAGATGGGCTGCAATGTCCTGTTTTGGGGTACCCAAATTGAGGGCACCAGAGAGCTAACGGGTGTGAATTTGAGATGTGTCAAATCTGGTGCTCTTGAAAGATATGCGCTCATGTCTATTTAATTTTAGTTAAAGATGGACACATTTTATGGTAGAGTGTCTAAGGGTCATGGGATTTTAAATTAAGATCATCTAAAGATTAAACAACAAGGGCACTGAAAGAAAACATGATGGGAATTGCAGTTACACCAGAAAGCCACAGGTTGTTTGTACGTTATAGTTAGCACCACGACAAGTTTAACAGGATAGCTGTGGATAGAGGCCACTTGTCTTGCTTTCTTTAGGCCCAGCTTGTTTCCAGTTTAGCTGTTTGGTCTAAATGTTGCAATTATTCAATCATGACAGCTCTCTTGTTTCTTGTATAACTTGCTCTTCATCTTCCTCAATGTCTGCAAGGGTCACCTGTGGCTGGACCGTCCCGGGAAATAGCTTCAGACAACATTTATAAATGAAGTATCAGTTACTGACTGTGGTTGATGGGAGTTGTTGATGGGAAGGCTAGAGGTGGCACGGTGAATAAAATTAATTAAAAGCACAATATTGTTTCACAACAGTTGGAACTTTTCGAACATGACCTCTGCTCATTCTACATCTCTGTCTCATTATGTCCTCCACATAATCCTGATGTATAGCAAATGACTCAGGGCAGGAGTTTACACAGTTGTGTTATTTGAAACTGTGTTGACACAAGTCCCCCACCAGATTTGTCAGCAGCAATACCAGCATGAACCTCCCATTGCCCCTCTCCATGACATCATGAATATTTTGGGAATTTGCCAATGGGGTAAGGCAGGATGATGGGAGGTGTGTTTGGTTCTGTCAGCGGCATCTGCGTAAAGGGCAGAAGAAGCAAAAAATAAAAGAGGCAACCACATTACGGGCATTGCTTATGCTGAGACAGCCCTTTTAGCCAAAAATAAACCAGCCAATCAAATGCTCCGGCTGCACCTGCCTCTCTGGCAAGCCAACCGTATTTCATTACTTAACTGTTTTTACTGACTCTTATTTATATACTCAAGAAGGTTAACCCTTTGTGGGAGACACAGGTTACGTTAGCTATGATAAAGTTAATAAAAGGCAAGTTTAAAAACATAACAAAGAAATGTACAGGGTAGTTTTAATTAAAGGTCTGTTTAACTTGCCTTCACAAACAAATAATAAGTAAATAAATAGATAAATTATAAAGCAATTCTCAAAACCAGGCATTGTGGAGATCGGACAAGAATTTAAAATTTGAGCCAAAATAGACAAGCTGGACTCATAGTGTTATTCACAAAATTTCAAATTTTGGCAAATTTAATCTGAATTGAAAAATAAACAATACAAAAGCTATGTTATGACTCGAGATGAGATGGATTTTTTTTGTTTTGCCACTAGGATTTTATTCACTCACTTTCAGAAAGAATCAAACTGAAAAGTCTTTTAAACACATGGTTAATGATTAAAGTGAGACTTCACCACAAATTAGCCAAAACTGGAAAAAGTAAACTATACTTCCATTTTTGATACTAAAGTTTGAAGTGAAATTTTCACTGTAGTGCGTAACCATGATAGTGTTTCAATTTTATTATTTTGGCATAAAATTTGCAATTCTATTTGCCAATCATTTAGAATCCATGGTTTAGTAAACATAGGTGAAGATTATACTTGGACGTATCACGTGGTTGTAATAGAAATATAATTCTATTACATTTGTTTAATAATAATAATAATAATAATAATAATAATAAAAATCTTACATAATTAATTAGCAACAGTTTTGTCAGTATATCCCCACTTGTTTACTAAAAAAAACAAAAAACAAACTCACAAATAAAAACTGATCCTTTCGTTTGTCATATGCTATGACTTTTTGTTACAAGAGTGAGATATTTGCTGGATTCTGTGATAAAAGCCAACAGTTTTTTTTTTCTACCAATAACATTTTAACAAAATAATTATATACCAGCAATTAGTTTGTCACAATATACAGTACATGAGTATATCTAAAGTGATGCAGTGTTATGTTGCTGTGACATGGACTTTATAGACCATGTTACCAGCTAGATATTTAATACTCTCATTACCCTCAGCCAGCTGGTGTCCACATCCCAGTGGTTATTAAGGACAATAGCTGCAAGTGCACAATTTCTGTATAAAAACAAGCAAACAGGACAATTCACTGAAGTGAGAATTCAAGGTGAAAATTCAAGAATGGGAATTTAAGAACGATATGACCCCTAAAGGTAAGTTAGCTCTAGGGACCTCCTGGCACCAGTGGTGTATCCTGGTTTTGTGCTGCCCTGGGCAGGACAAAACTCAGGCGCCCCCCGCACTCCTCCACCCAACCCTTCCCCCCTGCCCTGCCTTCTAAATACACACACACACATTCACTGACAGATACGCATACACTAGCTAACAGAAACACACACTCACTAACAGACACACACTCACTCACTCACTCTAACAGACACACACTCACTAACAGACACACACACACTCACTAACAGACACACACACACACACACACACTAACAGGCAAACACAATCACACTCACTAACAGACAAACACACACACACACACACACACACTCACTCACTGACACACTCACACACACACACTCACACACACTCACTAACAGACACACACTCACTAACAGACACACACTCACTAACAGACACACACACACTCACACACACTATCAGGCAAACACACTCACTAACAGATGCACACACACACACACACACTAACAGACACACACACACACACACTCACTAACAGACACACACACACATGCTATCAGGCAAACACACTCACTAACAGACACACACACACACACACACACTCACTAACAGACACACACACACTAACACACACACACACACACACACACACTAACAGACACACACACTCACTCCCATTAACATACTCATTTTTTTTTTATTTGACCCCCCCAGCCTCCTTTTGGAATGCTGGCGGGGGGGGTTTCCCTCTCCCTGGGGGCTGGTGGGGCTGCTGGGCGGTCGGCGCTGGCGAGGGAGCACTTTCCCCTGAGTGCTCTGCTCAGCTCCCTCGCGCTCCGCAGAGTGATGCCAGGAGCCGGAATATGACATCACTCTAAGTGCCCAAACACCTTTAGCTAAATTAAATAGTTTTGGTGTATAGATCATGCTCCCCACAGGCTCACACAGCCAACATAGTTTGATTTTCTATCAGATCTTACAGCAAGTGTGTTTACTTTAGAATTCTTATCTCCTGCCCTGTTAATTGAACTTTAATCATACATTAAGCTCCTGTAGGCTCTAGCAGGCAATTAACAGAGCAGGGGACAAGAAAACCTGAGTTAAATAGACTGTGCAATGAAGGAAATTTAAAAATTAGATCTCTCTTTACAGTAAATGTGTAGGGTGGCTGTGTAAGTCACAGGCAGGGGAGGTGTGGCTAGGGATGCATAAACAAAACAATTTAAATCCTAAATGGCAGAGAATTGAGCAGTTAGGTGGCAGTGTCATGAGTTATACACCAAAAGATTAAGCTAAAGTTGCTTTGATGCTTACAATTTTCCTTAAAACCTTCAATTCATGTTTGGAGTCATTGCTTACCACATGATGATGTGGAACGTATATAGGGCTGGCGCGTCCTATAGACTAAGTAGGCAGCCGCCTAGGGCGTCTATTAAGGGGGGGGGGGTGCCAGCAGTGGCTTTACCTATCAAGTGGGATTGTTTATATAAAGCAGGCCGCGACGGCCGCGTTACCATGCCTTAGGGAGCACTTACTTGTAGACTAGCGCCCGGCAGAACATCGGTCCGGCATTCACCACAGTCTGCTAAGTCAGGACCCCTCTCCCTGTACGTGGGGAGGATAACAGGAAATGGGACTTGGGAAAAAAGTGTCGGCCGCCGGGCGCAGTAAAGAAGACAGGAATGAAGAGCAAAGTGCAATGAAGGTAAGAGAGAATGCACAATGTGTTTCATAGAATGTGTGTCAGTATGTTTCAGTCAGTATGTTTGTATATGTCAGTCTGCTTGGGTTGTTTGTGTTTGTATGGGACTGTGTATGTATAGCTCTGTGTGTGTGTGTGTATGTATGGGACTGTATGTGTGTGTGTGTGTATGTATGGATCGATCTGTGTGTGTGTGTGTATGTATGGGTGTGTGTATGTATGTATAGGTGTGTATGGGTCTCTGTGTGTCTGCATGGGTCAGTGTGTGTGTGTATGTATCGGTCTATGTATGGGTCAGCATGTGTCTGCATGGGTCAGTGTGTGTGTATGTATGGGTCTGTTTGTGTGTATGGGTCTCTGTGTGTATAGGTCAGCTTGTGTCTGCATGGGTCAGCGTGTGTTTGGAGGGGGTCAGTGTGAGCGTATGTGTGTGGGTCAGTGTGTGTGTCTGTATGGGTTAGCATGTATGTGTATGGGTCAGTGTATGTAAGTCTGCATGAGTGGTTGGAACGAATGGGGCGGCAAAAATGTTTTCGCCCAAGGCGGCAAAAATCTTTGCACCTACCCTGAACACATCCAACCTTCCTCATAGAGAAGCACTGGATTCAGTGGCTGAGCGATATGAATGCAACACATGCACCCTATCTTCCTAGTGCTTCTCTACGAGAGGTATTGGATTGGACTGAGCTCATCAGTTATTATGATCTCAGGGAACATTGAGCGACTGCTGCAAGGAGATTATCATATCGGTAGATTACAAGTGATATAGTGTTTTTTTTTTTTCATTTAAAAAAGGGAGCCTAGTAATCTAAACAGAGCAAAGAAAACAATGACATTTAAAATAACTATATATATATATACACATTTAAAAGTAGAATGTTCCTTTAAATCCTTTGTTGATCCTAAAAAAAAAAAATAGTATTGTGGACCTTTTTGGGAAAAACACACTGACAGCTAGAAAATAACAGTTTGTAAATTCCTGCAGTAGTATATCTGACAACAAATGAACCTGTTCTTACAAGGTCAAAACTTACACTTTTTTTTTAAAGCTGACAGTTCTCATAATTTACATGCTTAAAATTGTCAGTGTTTCTTCACTAAATAATGATTGGCGCTGATTAGCCAAAAAAGAAGAGTCACTCTATTAGGCTAAAAACAAGCAAATTAAGAAAAAAAAACCCAGCCAAAAGCATGTTGGAAAACCTGTCATACCGTGTTCTACTTCTTAAAGTCAACATATGATAGATATTGAATACTTCTTATATATACAAAACAAAACGTAAACAAACCTGTAATTTGCGCTATTTATCTGTTCAGTCCTAACTCATTCATATTATGTGCACCCACACTTATTAAATAAATTTTATTCAGGGGAAACAGGGTTTTCATTAACATCAAATATTTAGGTATGAAACATAATTTAATATGAATAAAATATAAAACAATGGGAAAAAAATAAGAATTTAAAATTATTTTAGTTCTACGTGACATTCTAACAGTGAATGTCATAATACTGTTTGCTTTTACTGCAATAAAATACACATATTTGTATTCAGCGATGTCTCACGTGTAAAACAGGTTTTATGGTGTTTTGGGAAGTTACAGGGTCAAATATAGCAAGTTAAATTTTTCAGTTTTTTCACATTGAAATTCGCCAGATTGGTTATGTTGCCTTTAATACCGTATGGTAGCCCAGGAATGAGAATTACCCCCATGATGGCATACCATTTGCAATAGTAGACAACCCAAGGTATTGCAAACATCCAGTCTTTTTTAGTAGCCACTTGGTCACAAACACTGGCCAAAGTTAGTGTTAATATTTGTTTGTGTGTAAAAATGCCAAAAACTTATTTGAACGCCAATTTTATATGTTATATGGTTAAATATAATGCTAGCAAATTACATTCCCTGGACTTTCGGCCTGGGTTGTCAGGCAGGTCCCGCAAATTGTAATTAATAAAATGACCTAATTATGTAAAATTATAACATAAATATATACGTAGAATTATTAAATATATATATATATATATATATATATATATATATATATATATATATATATATATATATATATATATATATATGTATATAATTTTTTTTAAATTATTTGTATTTATATACAGGTATATATATATATATATATATATATATATATAGTGATATATACTTATATACTTATGTACATAGATATATATATTATTTCATTCTACGTGTATTTTGATATCAATATATATATATATAAATTTAAAAATACAGTTAGAACGAAATAACACACATATATATATATATATTAATGTATTTACATATTTATTTATTTTATATTATATATAAAAATATATATAATGATAATTATATATATATTTATTCAATATCACTCTACGTGTATTTTGATATTAATATATATATATAAAATATATATATTAATATTAAAATACACTTAGTGTATATGTATTTATGAGTATGTATGTGTATATATATATATACATACATACTTAGATCATATATATAATAAATATATATATATATATATATGATCTAAGTATATATAAAATTGTATTTTACACTGTTTTAAACTTTTTTTTTGTCAGGCAGCAGGGGTAGTACCTTTCATTACAGGCACTCCCCCTGCTGGCATTGCTGTGGACTATGCCGTCCATCTGATCGTGAGGTCCTTGCAAGGACCTTGCGATCACATGGCCCAGGAGGGCCAGAACGGGAGCAGGGGGACTCCTTGGGATGCCAGATGAGTCCCCCCACCGTGATGGCCGGTGTGGGATCGCCGGCGACCGGGTAAGTGAATAGGCAGGCGGGGATGTGCTATGCCGCCCCCCAGCGTTTAGAGCCGGGTCCCCAAAGACGGCACAGTACGCCCCCCCATCCTTGAGAGGTTAAAGGTAATGTGAATGTAAACTGTGAATTTTCAGTGAGTCAAGGAAGGGACTGTTCTAGCTACCTGCCAAATTATTTGACAAAGATTGAACAACCATGGGTGTCTGCAGGAATTTTTCCAGGGGGGGCATAATTATAATGACATCCATGCTTGGCCCCTTTTTGACAGTGTCATGAAGGGGAGTTGCATAGTCATTATCACATAAAGCCAGGGTGAATAGCGTTTTCACAACTATGGTGTCAGGAATGTATTCCTGACACTATAGTGTTCCTTTAATCAAATTAAAGGAACATTCTGGTCACCATAACAACTTCATCTACTGATTGGCTTAGCATGCCAGCTGACCGTTCGAGCCAATCAGCGACACCCCTACCCAATGGCACTCTGTGTTCCCTGACACTCGGTAAATAAAAGGCACATAAGCACTGAGAATTTTTTTACTTGGGGAGGTCCAAAGTTTCCCTGCCAGGCCCAGATACCAAAGCTGTATGATGTGGTGTCCAGAATGAAGTGGAAGGATCACTTCACTTCTCCTTCTTGCTCCAATCTACTTTTCTTCTTTTTCATTTTACACAGTCTTCTTATTTTTCTGACATTATCTTCTCTCCTCCTTGGCTTCTTCTGCTGCTTTACCTTTCTGATACTTTTGCGCCCTTCTGCTCCTTTCTCTTTCTGATCCCTTTCTGCTCCTTACAGACCCTTTGTGCTCCTTCTGCCCCTTCCAGCTCCTTGATGCCCCTTCCAGCTCCTTGCTGTCCCTTCCTGCTTATTTCTGTTCCTTCTCCTTCCTGTTCCTTCTCCTACTTTACCTACATGCTCCTTTCTGCCCTTTCTTCTACTTGCTGTTCCTTTCTGCTCCTTTATCTTCCTGCTCCTTCTGTCCCTTTCTGTTCCTTGCAGACGCTTCCTGCTCCTTTTCCTACTTTACCTTTGCGCTCCTCTCTGCTCTTTTCTACTCCTTGCTGCCCTTTCTGCTCCTTCTTCTACTTTACCTTTGTGCTCCTTCTGATTTTTTCTGCTCCTTTATCTTTGTGCTCCTTCCTACTCTTTGCTGCCCCTTCCTGCTCATTTCTACCTCTTCCAGCTCATTTCTGTTCCTTTCTGCTCCTTCTCCTACTTTACCTTTCTACTCCTTCTGTCCCTTCCAGCTCATTGCTGACCCTTTCTGCTCATTGATGTCCCTTCCTGCACCTTTCTGTTCCTTCTCCTTTCTGCTCCTTCTCCTACTTTACCTTTCTGCTCCTTGCGGACACTTCCTGTATGCTGCGCCCCATCCCTCACTTACTTGGTCTGTAGGCTGCCCCCCATGCCTTACTTCCCTGATCTGTAGGCTGTCTCCCCATCCCTCACTTACCTGATCTGTAGGCTGCTTCCCCCATCCCTCACTTACCTGATCTGTAGGCTGCCTCCTCCATCCCTAATTTACCTAATCTGTGGGCTGCCCCCCAATCCAACACTTACCTGATCTGTAGGCTGCCCCCCCAATCCCTCACTTGCCTAATTTGTAGGCTGTCCCCCTATCCCTCACTTACCTGGTCTGTAGGCTGCCCCCACCCTTCACTTACCTGATCTGTGGGCTGCCCCCCATCCCACACTTACCTGATCTGTAGGCTGCCTCCCCCCTTATTTACCTAATTTGTAGGCTGTCCCCCTATCCCTCACTTACCTGGTCTGTAGGCTGCCCCCACCCTTCACTTACCTGATCTGTGGGCTGCCCCCCATCCCTCACTTACCTGATCTGTAGGCTGTCTCCCATGCCTCACTTACCTGATCTGTAGGCTGTCCCCCCATGCCTCACTTATCTAATCTGTAGGCTGCCCCCCCATGCCTTACTTCCCTGATCTGTAGGCCGCCCCCATGCCTTACTTCCCTGATCTGTAGGCTGTCTCCCCATCCCTCACTTACCTGATGTGTAGTCTGCCCCCCCAAATCCCTCACTTGCCTAATTTGTAGGCTGTCCCCCTATCCCTCACGTACCTGGTCTGTAGGCTGCTCCCACCCCTCACTTACCTGGTCTGTAGGCTGCTCCCACCCCTCACTAACCTGATCAGTAGACGGCCCCCCATGCCTCACTTATCTAATCTATAGGCTGCCCCCCATGCCTCACTTACCTGATCTGTAGGCTGCCCCCCATCCGTCACTTACCTGATCTGTAGGCTGCCCTTCCCCCCATGTCTCACTTACCTGATTACAGGATGAGGCACTGCAGGTAAGTTCTCTACAGAATGAAATAATGTAGATAAAATACAGGATATTACCAGGAACAGAGATTTTTTTTTTTTATCAGAGCATAGACTTCAATGTCAAGGCACTGTTGTGTCCGGGAGTAGATTTATCAAGCCTCCTAATTAGTTAATCCAGGTGAGGTTATTAAGGTGAGTGAATAGATTAGTGGCTAGGGAGGCCACTAGAGGAGAAAATCATGAAGTTCCCTTAAAGGGCCAGTAATAAACGAAAAGTCTTACATGTCAGTTTTGAAACCTGACAGTGCTGCTCAAGGCAAATGCATTGTTAGCCTTG